TAGAGAGAAACAAGCCCTATAACATGGGATACAACATTTTAATGAACAGTGTTTTCCATAAAATGAAAAATATACGAAATAATATACATGTACTGATTTCTTTCGAAACTCGACAACTATGAAACTATGAACCCTTCCCGGACACAAACGGTAGATTGTGAGACAGGAAATTGTAGAGAAAAACAAGCCCTATAACATAGGATACAACATTTTAATGAACAGTATGGAAATGAAAATATAAAATTACACCAATCACAAGGAAATCGTACAGCCGATGAACGGAGGCATGAAAATGCAATAAAAGTCTTCAAAAAAATAAATTCAACCAATAAAATTAATATCGTATCATCGCATCGTTATATTTTCGACCGTTGCATTCCCATTGCAGGTTACGGCTGAATGTATTTATACAGATAATTTGATTTAAATAAATTTAGTGGTAAAATCCCCGTTATTCCTTTAGGTATTCCCGCGTCTTATAAGCGGTAATAAAGACACTTGAAGTAAAGTTTTATTTCCAAAATCAAGACGGCGGCGCTGAGCTTTACGAGGACGCGGGACCTGCGACAATGTACTTAACGGTTTGACGTTAATTTGCGCCGAAGAAATTCACGAAATACCGCGTCGCATAATCGTCGTGTAATCGCGACAGAACTGCTCGTAAAATGGGCTCTTAAATCTGGCACGTTTCAATACAGGGTTGTTTTGCGAATAATTTTACGACAATTCGTTGTTCGTTAGTAGTTTTTCGAATTAGGGTGTCCGTTATTTACCAGGTTAATCATTTCTCTCACGACGGCGACGCACAGTGGGGTATTTGACACCAATATAGTTGATCGAAATTTTTTTATGTAGACCTTATATAAATTATTGCTATTTTTAATTAAAGAGGAAATAATATGAACAAAATAAAGGATAATTCGTCGATTCTAAAAAAAGAAAGAAAAATCACTGTTTCAGTGTTTCCACGGGCAATGCCACTAATGCCAGTAGTAATATCGCAACTAATACTACTAATGCTACGACTGATCCGCGACCAATGCCCATACCACTAAAGCCGCTACTAATGCCAAACTGTGCTATACTGCTAATGGCACTAATGCGATCGCTTTGTAAACAACAATGCCATCGAGGTTTACACCTCGCATTAGTATATCACTGATTTGCAAATTAGAGGAAACCAAGAATGTTTTTCTCATTTTATCAGCAAAGTCGCAAAAAGTCGCAGTATTTTATTTTACTGTATGAAAGTCCAATGTTTACTAAGTAAAGCGTATATAGACAATATGCTGAATTCTTCGAAATCAAATTTTTAATTTAATCAAATTTTCTGAACGCCTAACTTTTAGTTGCAAAAAAAAATCGTTAGTATAGAGAATATCAAAATAAATAATATGTTTTTGTAGAATACATACCTGCAGCTTGCTGAGCCATTTTCAATCAAAAAAATAATGTAAACGTAAAAGGAGCATGAGAACAACAACAATTTATAATCTTAATATATATAACATAAAATTTAGCCATTTACCACTTATCTGTGAGAAGCTTTGAATAAAAAGACTAAGGAAGGAGCATAATGCTATCCATGTATTCATGCATGGTGGGCGGAAAAAGCACTCTAGGGTGGGGATCCTTGACAGTTCTGTTTGACGATTCATTTGACACAATTGAATTTAATTTGAAATTTTGTGGATTTGTCAGTCTTTACGGAGCTTATTTTATGTTATTTATTATTTATTCTACTACTGATAGTTGTATAAAGGTAGTAAATCTAGATGGAAATTGTGGCAGAACTTAAATTAACAGTGACACTATCGAGATTTATCGAAAAAGACTCTAAAATAGTGGGTTGTGTAGCGTGCGGTAGATCTCGGCAAAAATTGACTGAAATAATGGAACAACTTTTCGCTAGTAAGTGACTATATAATATACATACGTGTAGTAAACCGATCATTTATGAAATTCACTTAAATTAACTAAATTATATATTTTTATTGCATTTTAGCTTTTATTTATTACTTATCAAAGATTAGATGTCAAAGAATTTAGATACGTTAATTTGACTTACCTGCTTCAGTAGCGTATCGGATGTTTGTGTTATAAATACTTATTATAACATCTATTTTTATTAGAATTATATATTTTTATAACAATTTTAATAACTACCAACTTTTATTCACAACGTAAAATAAAACAACAAATTATTGAGTCTACCCCACGTCTACCCTACATCATAGATTTTTGACATGCTCCTTCCTTAGTCTTCTTATTCGAAGGTGAGAAGTAACAACTTTGACGTTTCGTTGAAACAAATGAATGCAACTAAACAGACCCATAGCAACGCCATTCATGGCAGACATGATTTAACTTATCATTTATCTTTTTTTGGGAAATCTTAAACACATTTGCTTTTTCGAATTTCGATCACCTTTTCCATGCTAATACTCCACCGTGCGACGCCCTCTAAATTTTTAGTTTATTGTCTAAAAAAATAACAGACCCTTAATATTCACAATAAACCTTGCCCCAAAGGCGATTCATTTTTGAACGCTCTACAAAAAAGATATCTTACAATTTTTCGACAAATCTACTCCTTCAAAAGTTATTTACGGTTATAGTTAACCATTCGGTAAATTCCTAAATTCTACTCCCAAAAAACATTCTTTCGATTTTTTTTTCACTGCAGGTTATTTAAATAAATCTTCAAGACTTTAAAAAACCACTCACAAGCACTTTCAAGGCTTAAATAAAAAACCACTCACAAGCACTTTCAAGGCTTAAATATGATTTCAAATTCGCTGCATACCACTTCAGGAAATCGCAGTGCATTTGCTTTACGACATGGCAAAGATTCAAAGCGACGATTCTGTCGGTTCTCGTGGCGAGGTAGATGTCTCTGCGAACGACGTCTGCGAAAATCTGACCGAAATTCTCGACCCACACCGCGATTTACGAGCAAGGAAACGACGTAAGTCTCCTAATTTACTAGGCATCCTGCCGAAGACGTCATTTAATAGGAATTAGCGTACGTAAAATCTTGAGGAACGTTGTGCTTTACGTATTTTGACGTCTTTAACTCGGGATCGCACTAAAGTCTGAGTCTTACTCATTCAATGTTAATGACATACAGAAAAGGCACTTGTACAGGGTGTCCAACTAAGAATAGCTGTCGGCTGTATCTCGGAAAGTATTAGCCGTAGGGCCTACGGAAAAAAATATTTATATCTAAAGGGGCTATGAGAATGAGGGCCTTTATTGTTTGAGTAGTTGAAATTGTTGGCATTTTGAAAAATCAATCAAAATATAAAAAACGCTGCTAAGACTATCAAAATGTTGATCTAATAACAATTTGACGTTTATACTATTACGTCAAAAGCAACTTTTTCCAAAGCCTGCCATGACTTCACTGAGGCATCGTTTCTTGTTCACTCTTATTAATATCTTAATTATTAGATATTAGCGTGTAAGAGCGACTTCGTTCGCGTCAAATTAATCATTTGTAATGGTGATGATAAAGCAAAGCAAGAATTTCCATTAACATACAAACTGGATAAAATTTTCTCGCATTTATATCAGTATGAGAAAAAACAATATGGCGATATTATTATATAACTTGGTAATATTTGAGGGGTAGTTTCATCTCGTTGGAATTTGACTTTAAAAAATCCAAGTCAAGCAGTTTAAGCAGAATCGTGGTTAAGTAATTACCCTAAACTTTTTGGAACACCCTGTATAATTTTTTAAAAAATTTCAAAATATGTAAAAAACCCAAATAAATTAAGCTTGTCTAAGCGTTTTCCCGAAAGACGAGTTATAACTCAAGAAAGGGGGACACTATAGATCGGTAAGGTCTTATCTCTAATTTCTAGACGTTATTTTTCGTCTCTCTAAGATATTTATTACATACTAAACTGGAAAAAGTCTTAAATTTTCCAACGAGATTGTTCTAATTTAAGTGTTGTCCTGATCCGTTCTTAACTGGATATATTTTACAGTTTTCATCTACTAATCCAGACATAAAATATCTGAGACATAGAGTTAGGAATTAACGAAGACAATTTGTGTTTTATTTGCTTTAGAGATTTGGTTTTAATTTTATATCGTTTAATTTGAATAATAGTTCAAAAAGTGAATCATATATCATTTAATTATGTAAAAATATTTATTTCGCATGGTCACTCATGCAGGTCTATGATACTAATTAAATAATTTAAATAATACAATTTTATATGAGAATGCACCTTTTTTAATATGCTACCATTACACGATCAAATTTCTTTGTCAAAGAGTTTATTTAAAATATATTTTATGAATAATTTGACAGTGTAATATGTGTGATTTTATAAAATATTATATATTAACACTGTCAAATTTTTCTTTTAATATCTTTTATAATAGATCTTTGACACAGAAATTTGATAGTTTATAGCACTCTAAATCCAGAACACAATAAACAAAATTTCAGGGTGGGAACTTTTGAATTCCCTTTACAAAATATTAAACAATATATCCATATTTTACCCCATCATTTTCTAAAGTCAGGTTCCTAGCCTAAAGAAATACGTGAAGAACTTTAACTAATTTAATGCCATTGTTAGGCAAAATAACGCCAAATCTGTATAGGAAGTCAGTCAAAGGATCATAATTTCCCTCCAATGTAAATACGGTCTGTTGTTGAAACAGTGTGTCGAAAAGGGGTTAATAAATGACAAACCGGGGTGTGGAAAATTTAATTCTAAAGAAAATGAGGGCGTAGATATCAAAATTTGAGAAGGAAGTTTATGAGAATTGAGATTATTTGAATTTTGTAAAGTTCTATCTTCTGAAAGTAAGGATTAATTAATAACTACCAAAGACTGAACTAAAAAAATGGTAAAAAACACACGTTTAAGATCTCAGTAGATAAAGAAAAGTTTTACATTTATAAGATCGGTAAATTTTTGGTTATGGACTTGTTGATGAATATTGCGATACTAACTGAATTTCTTTTTCGTTTTCAGACTTGTTATGAAATGGAGCGTTACCTCAAGGACGAGCCCAAAATCCCATCGTACAAAAAACTACCGGAAAACTCCATGTGCAGCTGGTACGAAGTGGCAACGCTGCAGGACTTCGGCGACCATCCGCTGGACACCCTTAGTAGCGCCAGCTCACCCATGTCATGGGACGGATCGCTGAGCTGCGCCGTTCTGGTCAAACAAGTAAGATTTTTGATGATATAAGTTGAATTGTTGATGGTAATGATGATTTCGATGATTTTTAGGAGCCTATTGATGATGAGGAGGAAGAGGATGATGATGCGTATCACCAGAATGGAAATACGTTGCAATTGAGACTTGTTACGAGGAATTCGACAACCTTGACGCCACCTTCAAGTCCGGAATCTGGACCTGGTCATAGTAATAGTAAGTTATCATCTTGTTTTATCTTGTTCATATAGCACTTGACAGCCATATGTCCTGTCAAGGGATATGTTTTAATCCGCACTTAATTTTTGCTGTGCATTAGCAATTCCTTTGTGGTTAGGTTAAAAAGAAGCCCTTGCTAGTGGATGGTCTGCTCCATCCTCCTTGATATACATTGATTTGGATATTCCCAGTACTAGTTCTAGACGAAGATGGCATTTTAATGATCCCTCCTTTGTTATTTTATCGGAGTTTTTGTTGCCTCGGACGCTGCTATCGTCAAGCACCCAGAATAATTTAATTCTGTTCCTACCTGCCAGAATTCGAAATTTATCCAGGCATTCGCAGACGAGTCTCGACGTTACTTTTGAGCTTATATTGGTGAGCTTTCCTGACTATGAAGGAATTAATTGACTATGTAGAATAGCAGAATTAATAAAAGTATTTATTTCTAATAACAAAAGTTAATCAAAAAGGAAAAGTAGTGATGTTTTGGTCTAGTTTAGGTGTTGCTTTTCTCTGTTCTTTTAAAATTTTGCCATTAAATTCGATTATGCAATGTTTTGTATCAATTATAACCAATTGATTTTCGAAAGCGACTTCGAGAACTCGATCTTCAGGTTGTTAGTATAGTTCAAATTTGTTTGAGTGCTTCCCTAGATTGCTATCATCATTTATTCAATATCCCTAGCTATTAATATTGCTTATTAATCAGCTCCTAGTAAACTAAATTTTCTGGATAGCTTTATTTTATTTCTAATAATCAAATAAAAAATTTTGTTTCAAATTGAAAACAAACTAGATGAAATATTTTTGATTATAAGTTTTACTTTAAAATTTAGTAATTTCTTTGTCGGAAAATACAAAACATAGGCTGGAATATGAACTTTTTAAAATTTTCCTGAGGTAAAACGATTGGTATTCTCTCCACTAGCCTAAAAGTCAATCAGAATTTCTCTTTTTTACCGAACAAGCGTAAACGCTAGGATTAAAACGGTTTTTAGTAGGTTCCAATTTGCGTAGTAGTTGGCGTCGGTCTTTAGAACGTGGAAAAATTATCGGGAAAATTCGCCAGAATTTCCACGCAAAAGGTCTGGCAATTATTTTTCCTCTTGCTTTTTATCTTTTCAATGTGCGAATCGTATATTGGAAAATTATGTAATTTTCAAAGAACTGTTCTTTTTTGTTTATTTTTTCGCTTGCTTTCCCTAATTTTTTAAATACCGTAATTGTTAAATAGTTATTTATGTATCAAGGGAATTATAAGGGTGTTAATAACCGGCGGCTATTGAAATGAAACTATGAAACTATAAACCCTTCCCGGACACAAACGGTACATTGTGAGACAGGAAATTGTAGAGAGAAACAAACCCTATAACATAGGATACAACATTTTAATGAACAGTGCTTTCCATAAAATTAATAAAATGAAAAATGTACGAAATAATATACATGTACTGATTTCTTTCGAAAATCGACAATTATGAAACTATGAACCCTTCCCGGACATAAACGGTACATTGTGAGACAGGAAATTGTAGAGAGAAACAAGCCCTATAACATAGGATACAACATTTTAATGAACAGTGCTTTCCATAAAATCAATAAAATGAAAAATATACGAAATAATATACATGTACTGATTTCTTTCGAAAATCGACAACTATGAAACTATGAACCCTTCCCCGACACAAAGGGTATATTGTGAGACAGGAAATTGTAGAGAGAAACAAGCCCTATAACATAGGATACAACATTTTAATGAACAGTGTTTATAAATTGACGGTTGTTGTTATTCGAGTTCAGTTTTTGGTAACAAAAAAAAGCCTTTTGCTCGAATTCGGCACACGTTCGAGTACGTTTTTATTAAAATGTAGAAAATATTAAAAAAAAAGCTGAAGAAGCACGTAAATATGAATCAATTTATCAAAAGAAATATAAAAAAATACCTTCAGTCGCCTGGACAAAAAAATATTTTAGCAGGGGATGTCGCTGAAACTGTTTTTGTAAATTTATTATGTGACATTAATGATGTAGATAAATTATTAGAGTAGTTAGATGAGAGTCCATTTTTATTTTATACTTTTACTCAAAATCTCAATTGTATTTCCTGGTTGTTACCTATAAAAGGTAGAGGGAATTATGGCATCTTAATTCCGGTTTATAATGTCCCAAGGGGGTTATGACTTTATTTATGGTTAGCGTCACCAAGACGATATAAGCTTATATTAATACAGTAAGAAACAAAAATAAAAGTTTTTTTTATAAAAACACACATAAAATGGCGTAAAAGTTTTCCCATAAAAGCTTAACTTCTGTATATATTCGTTAAATTAAAACACTCCTGAAACCTGAATACATTAAATATTTTAATATTTTTCTTTAATAGATCGTGTTCACAAGTTTCTGAAATATCTCGAGAGTTAGTTTTCCTTTATTATTGAAGAATAAAGTAAAAGGAGGTTGACAAAACTGCTTTAATGAAGTTTTAAAATTGAAAAAAAGGTCTAAATAGAGATTAAGATTTTTATTCTTATCCGTAAATTGATACACATCAAGTTTTAGACAATTTAATAAAAAAAATCAGTCAAAATAGTTCATATTTTACAAAAAAATTTTCTTTATTTCTATTGCAGGTAGTTCAAGTACGGGTGACCTGGACGTCTGCAACCTGCGCTTGACAGGTAGCCATACCAGGAACACCATAGTTAGGGTACGGGCCTCTGGACTGACCAGATTTGTTTCCATGGTACCGAGAGGCTCGGGTACCGCTACCAATTCCACAACTGCATCCGCGAAATCTAGGTAAACACCATCATTTTTTTTGATATAAACAGACAAAAAATCATTCGCACATTTTCAGTGTCTAGAAACTGAACAAAAAGTAAACTTATGAGTTTCTTGGAGATTTTTTATTTGATTCAGCGTTACTGCAAACCAAAAATGGCATATATTGTGTTTCTTTCGTAAACATAAAATATCTACAAAATTATAACCAGGTATTAGAGAAGTACGCTGTCAATCAGTATATGAGTTATATGAGAAATATTCTGATGTATCAAAAAAGAAGGAAAAGTATCTTATGCCGGGTCCAGAACAATGCGACAAAAAGTAAACACGATTTTGAGACAAAAACAAGACAAACTTGCTACAAAAAATGGGGAATTCCGACAAGACAAACTTGAGACAAATTGTCCACACCGCAAGGACAAAAGTACAACAAAGTCAAAAGTTTAGTTGTTGCAAATGAGTTTTATTAACCATGTGTGATTTCACTGGTCTCCTACTGTTGGCAGCACACGCCATCCACACTCTGCCGACAATTTGTCGCAAAATATACGAACAAAACATAGACACTTTGATCTTTACCGACTCGAGACGGGACATTGAAAAGTCTCCGAATTTTGAAACAAAACAAAAATCAGACAAAAATGTGGCAAAAGTGTATTGGATTTGTCGCAATGTTTTCGTAAAACATGAATGTTTCCGTCTTGTCATTGTTTTGTCTGCTTGGTCTGGACCCGGTATTAGATAGCAACTATAGAAAACAAGAAATAGACATTTTATCTGATACTCAAGCAACAGGTTCTGGTGCCACTATATTGATAGAATTACTTTTGGAAGCCAATTCTGTCAATATTTCCTCAAAAAAAAAACCTCCTGTTGCCTATACTGATCAGTTTCATCAAAAATATATATTCTCACATTCATTACTCGTTCAAAAAGACCGATACGTCAATTTTTGGATTAAAATTGGTGTTTGGGAGTTTTTTGTCATAAGAAATTTGATTTTGATGTCTATATGACTCCTACTACTAGAGGGCGCCACCTACATGTGTTTTGACTGTTTTGAAGCATAATAACTTTTTGTCCGTACCTGTATAAAACTACCGAGAGAAAAAATATACATCTCTGTGATTTTTTACGTAAAAAATATCTCTTTGTTTGTCTCAAACCGTTCTCAAGATGTTTAGAATGGAAGTAGTCAATACATGCCATTATTAACGAAAAATAAACAGGTTGAGTAGAGAGTTATTTCACTGAAATAATAAATTTGGGAAATGTTTATTTTTTTAAATTAATCATAGTTGTTCTGCAAAAAAAATGATGATAAAACAGTTTTTGTTGAACTTTTGGTACAAAATACATCTCAAATTTATGATCTCAGTCTAATAGCTATTTAGTCAACATGATTAATTTATGTTAATGACGACAGGTATTGATAATTTCGATTCCAAATATCTCGAAAACAATTACTCGTAGCGATTTTTACCAGAGAGACCTTTTTTACGTAAAAAGCGTCGTAAATGTATAATTTTTTACTCAGTAGTTTTATACAGGTACGGGCGAAAAGTTATTACTCTTCAAACCAGTTAAAAAATATGTAGGTGGCGCCCTCTACTAGTAGGAGTCATATTGACATCAAAATCAAATTTCACATGTCAAAAAACTCCCAGACACCAATTTTAATCCAAATATTGACGTTACTGCAGAAATTATTTGGAAAAAATCGAAATAAAAATGAAACTTCTACACCCTGTATCTCCGAAACTAAGCATTTTTGGACATACATCTATACGAACATTTTTACTTATTTTTATCTGCAGAATATGCTGCCGAAGTTTCCGGAATACAGGTCGGACCATCCTGTATATTCAGAAGTTCAGTAAAAAAATATTTTTTTGGCGTTTACAGGTTAGATCATTCCCCCGATTCCAAAAGAAAAATACACAAGTGCCAATTCTTGGACTGCAAAAAGGTCTACACGAAAAGTTCTCACCTGAAGGCTCACCAAAGGACTCATACGGGTAAGTACTCATTCCAAACATCTCTAAACTATATATCATAAGGAAGTCCTCCGTAATTTCTCCAATATAAGACGGAAAAATTGTCGAGCTGGCAACACAGCGTCTAGTCTCGCTTACTTAATCAAAATTGCGAGAAGTTTTAATCCGGCAAAGCGGCATGCACTCGGCAATTTTCGAGTTTGCACTTTGTGTCGGCAACGTCGATTCCTAGAATCGCGAACAAACAGCGAAACGGTGCAAACAAGAATTTCTAGTTTTCGGCGATGGTGCGGTTTTTGGTGTACTTTTTGTTTGTTGCTTTCCACTAGAGAGTAGAGAGGGCGTTGTTGTTTATATTCTTCGCGATAAAGGAATAAGAAAGAAAGATAATGATAGATTAAATTATATTTTTTAAGTGAGAGTTCTTTACGCGAGCTAAAAAATGCGAGATGAAATGTGGTTTGGTATATCTCGTGTGTTTGGTTGTTCTTTCCGATTTGTATTTCGTGCCCGAGATATTTGTATATATGTGTTTCTTTTATGTCGGCGTCACCTATTCTGATGTTCTGTGTCAGCACTAAGTTTGTCATTATTTGCGTTTTACTCGTATTTATCCGGAGACCGACTTTTAATGAGGCCTGCACTAATTCTTCGAGCATCTGCTTTGAATCTCCGATGTTATGTGAGACAAGGACGATGTTATCTGCGAATAGATGTGTCAACCTTTCACCATCGATATTTATGCCCCTATTCTCCCAAGAGAGTGATTTCATTGCGTATTCAAGGACAGCTGTAAAAACTTTAGGCGAAATAGTATCCCCTTGTCGAACTCCTCTGCCTACCTCAATTTTATCTGTTGTTTCGTGAAGTTTTACAGTTGGTGGCATTACTATATATGTATTCTATAAGCCTTGTATACCTATAATCTACTCTTCCCTGCTCCAATGCTGCTATTATTGATGTTAATTCTACTGTGTCAAATGCTTTCTGGAAATCAACGTACACCAATGCTAGGGGCCTGTTGTATTCCACAGATTTTTCTATCAGGACTTTAATTACTTGAAGATGATCGTTTGTTCCATAAACTTTCCTAAAGCCTGCCTGTTCTCCTGGTTGATAGAAATCTAGTTTACGTTCAAGACGTTTGGCAATGATTTTGGTAAACAGCTTATACAAGTGACAAAGAAGGCTTATCGGTCTATAATTTTCAAGATCGGTGATATCGCCCTTTTTATGGAGAAGTATCGTTATGGCGTTGTTCCATTGAGACGGGATTATTCCTTTTTAAAGGCATAGATTAAATAAGTCTTTAATCCATTTTAATAGTGTTCCTCCTCCAAGTTTTACAGCCTCAATCATTATGCCGTCCTCGCCCGGGGCTTTGTTATTTTTCATTTCTTTTAAGGAGTTTCTGATTCCTTCTGTAGTTATTTCCGGTATATCCTCTGATCCCTGGTTAACTATCTTTTTGCACAGACGTTGTTGACTGTTGTATGTTTGTTGGTGATTACTTGTGTATAGTTCAGTGTAAAAGTTTTCTGTTATTTTCAACAGCCTCGCTCTATTTGTTGTTACGACCCCTTGGTTGTCTTTTAGTTTAAAGATCTCTCTCTTTCCATTTGATAGTTTTCCCCGCAACACCTTCATACTTTTATTCTCTTCTATAGTTCGCCTTATATTATCTGTATTAAATTTTCTTACGTTTTTTTCCTTATTCAAAACATTTATCTAGAGAATAATACGAGTAATATCTAAACCACACGCTCGGAGCTATTATCGGATAACATAAGTTATATTAACCTTAATTTTCGGTTTGTTAGTACCGGATTTAATTATCTATCCACGTCGACCGACGGCACTGCGCAAATATTTGCCTCGATGTTATATAGCAACCTCGCTCGCCTTTCGTTTGCGCACAAAATTACAACATCCGACGCCCAAATTAACTAGACGCCATAAAAACAACAACGTAGGTCAACTAAATTGACTGGAGAGTAAAACGAAAATATTACTGACTCTTGCAGCATTTGATATACCGGTCATTTATTTGATCATATTTGTGTTTTTTAATCATAGACTATTACGATACCTCTAGATTAGGGTGTCCGATATTTACATAAGTTGATCATTATTATCGCGACGCCCTCTAAATTTTTAGTTTATTGTCTAAAAAAAAATAACAGACCATTGTAAACCCTTAATATTCACAATAAACCTTGCCCCAAAGACGATTCATTTTTCATTTAAATTACACAGGAATTTGCCACTTTTTGCAAATATATTTTTTTTCTCTCGATCTTGTTCTCTCGCAGCCATAACAATTACATACTCCTGTACAGAATTGAACGCTCTACGAGAAAGGTCGCTGACAATTTTTCAATAAACCTACTCCTGCAAAAGTTATTCACGGTTAAATTTAACCACTCACTAAATTCCTACATTTTTGAACTTTCTTGATAAAATTATGATTATTTTTGAAAAATTTAATCTATTATTTGAAAAAAAAGCAATTTTCATGATACCATGATAAACAATTTTGAATCATGGATAACAATAAAATTGAGAGATTACTGCCTACCATCGGGCTACGCGCGCTAGCCGATCCGTCGCCATTGCATATTATTCTATATCGGATACAGTCTCGATCCCGGAATAGGTCCTGAGGAACTAGTCCTTTGAGAAACCAGGAACTAGTTCCTTTCATTCCGGGGTCGGAATAGTTCATTGGAACTAGTTCGTTCACGAACTACACGCCTCTAATGCATGATAGGTAGTTAATTCTAATACTTATTATAGTGTCAGACAGAAAACGATTGTTGAATAGTGAATAATGACAAAGAATTCGATATTTCTAAACGCTTAATTTTTAATCAGGTTGATTTTAAATGGTTTATAAACCAAAACATTGATTATTTCATAAATTCAAATTCGTTACAATTTTTTACACGATTTAATATTGATACAAGTTTTCTGCAATACGGAATGGTTAAAGGATCCTGGATATATGAGAGGGTTAGAAATTGTGAAAAATTTGACAGTAGTTAACGATATTGCAGAAAGAGCTGTCAAACTGTCAGAAAAATACATTAATATTTTATCTAGAAGTGAAGATGAAAAACAATATGTGATTGAGATTGTAAGCGATTATAAATATATCAAAATCCAACTAAAGAACGTTTATTAAAATAAATCAGCTATACTTAAAGGGTTTAAACTTCATTAGACTTAAAGATTTCTTAATTCTCAACCTTAACACCATTAGAATTGTGTATTTTTACAGTAATAGGTCAATTTTTTTAAAAATAATCATAAATATGTCAAAAAAGTTGAAGAATTTAGTAATTTACCTAGTTGTTAAATTTAACCGAGAATAACTTTTGAAAGAGTAGGTTAATTGAAAAATTGGGAGAGACCTTTTTTGTAGAGCATTCAATTCTGTACAAGAATATGTGATTTTCATGGATGCGAGAGAACAAGATCGAGAGAAAAAGAAATTTGCAGAAAGTGGCAAATTCCCATGTAATTTAAATGGAAAAAAGGTAGTAGATTAGAGATTATGTTTAAACAGCATATAGTTTGGCGTCATTTAAGGGTAAACCTCACTTAATAAAACTTTTCCTGTGTAAAAACACATTTTCTTGTCAGTAAACCTCTCCCATTTATATTGAACTAATCCTAATTAGTTTTCCAGCAAGTGAAGCATGATTATCGATACCCCCGATTCAATTTTCGAATTTCCCGGATAGATTCCGACGAAGAAAAAGAAGAAAATCGGATCGCAGGGCGCGAAGGAAAGAAAAACCTCCAATTAATTCCTAAGCTAACCCTTTTTAACGGGTTTCAGCCGCCAAAAAACTTTTTAATTAGCACTGGATCGGTATAGGCGTCGCGACGCTCGGTTTCTAATGAGATTTTCAACGCTGCCGATGCCAAAATCGTAGTGGAATCGAATGCATGTCAATAGCGAAGTTTAATTAAAGCGGTCCGGAGTTTTTTGGTACGGGCGGATCAGTTCCTTTTTCGATGACGGAGGAATTTAGCCTCTCTTATCGAATTCTAGACCATTCAAATTCTGTATTAAGCTTCTATGTTCGAATATCGAATATTACTAGTGGTGGGCATTACGATTCTTTTTAATGAATCGAATAACTCGATTCAATTTCTCGACTCTTTGAATCGACTCCTACGATTCGTTCATTTGAACGAACCACATGCACACTTTACCTTTCCTAAAAACTAGAATCGTAACTGGCACTACCGGCGTTAATTTGGCCAGACAATCAGGAAAATGCATGTTTTTAAATAATGGTTTTAAAAAATAGTTCATATAATTACAAATTGAACAAAAAAAAATCGTTGATATCGGTTAAGAAATGCCTCTAATATAAAATAATTAAATATAGTTAATTTAAATGGCCGGGCAAACGCTCTCTACCGCGCCTTGCCGCTGTGACGTCACCCGCCGTTCTTCTGGTTGAGTGGAGCCAGACGCGTGTTTATTTTACACAGTTTGCTTTTAAACGCTGTTGAATCCGAGTCAAAATTTTAGTTATTTGTGTTAATTAATACATAATTAGTAATTAGTGATATTTATAAATAGTAATGGATGAGCGAAAACAGAAAAAAAATGGTCCAAGGCCATGAGAAGAGATGAAAAGAAAAACGTTAAATTATCCTCTATTTTTACGATTTATTGTTGTGAAGATCATTTTGATGTAAGTTCATATATTTATGTATATTGTTTTACATAGGTATATGAAATTTGAATGTACAGGGTTATTCATTATATTTTGACACGCACATACAGCCTTAACTGCGAGTTTTAGAAGAAAACATTAAATAAAAAAATTGCATGGTTTTTCATATACTCTCTTTTAAAATTAATTCTAGTTATACAGGGTGTCTCAAAAAAGGTGGTCCAGAAAATTCTAGGCATTTTTCGCTTTTCAACTGTCAATATTTCGTAAACATTTGAAGATAGGTATAGGATATTATACATGAAATATATCTAGAATATCTAG